CTCAGATCGGGTTTTGTGTAACAGATTATATATATAAGAAATATAATCCAGCCAATTATATTTAGTTATGATCATGTCATTAGTATTTTAAATCCGATAACCTCTCAAAACCGATACAAAAGCCATCCACCATGCGTATTGGATTTGAGAGGGTGTACTCAGGGTTGGCACATTTATCCATTGAGGTGAATGGAGAATAACTCCATTGACATTGCTTCATTGCTCCATTGAGAATAATCCTGAATGGAGCCAATGGAAGCCAAGCAACTCCATTGATGTTTCTCCATTGCTCCATTGGGTGTGATTTCTGAATGGAGCCAATGGAAGCCAATAACATCATTAACATTACCTCATTAAGATTCATAACAATCATGTCATGTGTTCATGAATTATGGGTAATCAGTTTCAATCAACTTATTAATAATAAGCTTCACTAATAATGATTTTTTTACTTAGATCACAGGGTTAATCAGTGTGATGCATAAAGGATTGAATTATTGAAGTTGAGTAAATTTTATTCTATTTCTCTCTTTGATTGCATGATTTGCAAGTATTATGGTTTATTAACACGATAATTTATCTCAAGGTATATAACAAAGGGTTAGAACACTTCTATTCGTTTTTACTTTCAAAGTGTTAAACTTTTGAGTTGCTTTATTTGACAGCAAAAAATAATCACTTATATAACTTCTGTATAATTAGAAGCTATATTTCAATTGTATGTATACTATTGATTTGGTTTAAATTTATATAAAAATCCTGAACTAATATAAGTATAGATAAAGTTTATTATCAAACAGTTTTAAGTACAGTTATTTAAATTCATAAGATTCTAACACTTATTTTTATTTATGTTTAGATATAGGAACTATCTGTTTGTTCAAATGAACAATATTTATATAAAGACTTTCAAATATCATTTTATTAATCCTTCTAATAAATATAAATATTTGTTTACTTGTTCATAAAAATATTGCAACTAAAGAATATTCAATGGTATTTACAAGCCCGTTATAATCTTTTCTTTATTTTCCTAATTATGAGATCTATCTGCTCCATACTTTCATAGTTAAGGAGATCTCTGACTTCATTAGTTAACTTAAAACCAACAATTGTAGCATAACTTGCATATTCGAACAATGGTCTTGAATATTTTAGAAGAATAACTTTAAAGAATTTATTAGAATATGTTCTTTAGTATTTATACTAAAATATATATTCTAATAAGTCTTCTATCCTTTATATAATTTGTTGGTTTGCTCCTTAGAATTGACACAATAATTCTACATTATTGACAGTTTACAAAAGCATTTAATATATAACAGATAACCAAAAAAAAATAGCTTCAGTTAACTAACAAATTCTAGTCGAGATAAATAAATTGATACTTCACCAAATAAGCATCAAAATTTTACTTTCGGCACAAAATATATAAAGTATTAAGCAAAGTAATTTTATGAAAAAAAAAAAAATACTTTAATAGATTTACGAATAACTGAGTGTTTAATATAGTATAGTATAAAAATAATTCTTGTTGTTATTGTAATTCTGAAAAATATGGTGGAGTGGGAAGATTTTGACCAAACAAAGAGCAAAGATTCCACTTTGCATCTTTATTTATTGACGAATGATCAGTTTCTACGTTAACCACAATTTGATTTAAAATTATTGCATTTTCGTCAAGTCCTAACTCATCTGAATCTGGTTTATCCCATTCTTCTTCATGTTGTGCATGTTTATTATCATTAATCATAGAAATCTATTTTAACACTACTTCGTTCCATTCTTTTTCATTCATAGCATTATTATTTTTTTCTGATTCTGGGGCTTGAATCTTTTTATCTTCAGAATTACTAACAATCATTGTATAATCTTAATTGGTTTGTATAAGATCGGTTAATATTTCAGAATTATTAGACTCAGATAATAGTAGTAGAATATTTTCTTTATATTTTTTAATTGAACTTTCAATGGCTTTTAAATTGTTACGATAATTCATTGCAGCACGCAATTGACTCATTTGTAATACTTTCTTAGGCTTAAATATAATTATATAAAATTAGTAATTTTAAAGTTTATATAAATAATATTTTTATAATTTTAAATATAAAAATAAAACAAACCTTTAAACGATTACAATATTTATTGTGAAACCAACCCATACATGAAAAGAGTCTTTCAACGCATTTAGAATTTACACAAATTGAAAAAATTCAACATGCAACTTTACTTAATTCTTTTGCTGAGTTAGAACAAAACTCCCAATAAACTAAAATATCACTTGCAAATTGATTTGTGATATGTAGAGTAAATGGTTTTTGTTGTTTACAAAATTTTTTAAGCTCAGAAAGTAATAATCTTGGTTTTTCTTAAAACTATGCATAGTAATACCAGCAAACCCACTCACTTAGCTGTGTATATAACCCTTCAATACTACTTTTAAATATTTCCATATGATATTTTGGATGAAAAAGAAAAGCAAGTAAGAGTAACGGTTGCTCTCAAGATTTCTAATGTACTTCCAAACAATTAATTATCTTAGTAGCAAATTTTTGATCAGAATAGCTTTATAAAATTTGATAAAATATGCAAAGCTATGAAGAACTTCATATAAACAAGCTTTGTCTTGTTGCAATTTATTTAAAATTGCACAATATGATAACAAAATATTTGCAAAATTACTAATTGTAATCCATCATTGTTCATTATTAATAGTATCACAATTTTTTTCAGGTAATAATGATGTATTTCATAAATCACTAATTAATGAAAATTCAAATTTAGCTACAAGAGTCTAAAATTATACAGTAATTTGTTATTATTTTTATATTATAAAGTATTTTAATCAATATTAGTAATAAATTTACCTTTAAAGCTGCTTTAGTTTTTAATAAACTTGAAAAGCAGTAATAATAACTATTCTAGCAAGTTTCAATGGGACTAACGAGTGCAATATATTTTTTATATACTGAGTACTGCTTATTATGAAATTGCTTTATAAAATATGAATGATTTGCATTGTTAAAAAAAGACACAACTATAATAGCTAATTTTAAAACATTATTAAATTATAAGATTCTTTAAAAATTTCTCCGATGTATAAATTAAGTTGATAAGCAAAACAAGGTAAAAAAATCTTGTTTATATATTTTAATCATAATTATTGTCTATTAAAATATAAAATAATATTAATATAAATAATTAAAATTTTTAATTAAATTTGTGAACTTACTTGGCTGCTTCATATGGAGAAGCACTATCAGTTACAAGACCATTAATTTGAATTTTTTCTAGTTTAAACATATTAATAAAAGATTCTATCATATTCACTACATTTTCTCACTTTTTTTTTTCACTGCTAACATCTTTAGCTTCCCAAATTAGTAATTCACCATCTGATTTAACAAGTATAGATTCTAAAATATCTTGTTTAGCTATATTTTTCCATTCATCAAATATTAGCATTACACTATTTGAATCTTGTTGTGCTTTGTTTATTAAAATATCTTGCATTTTTTTAGCAGCAGCTTTTAAAATTTGACTAGCAAGTTGTTTACGATTAGGTAAAATAAGATTTGGATTAAGCCACTGATAATGTGCAATAACAGATTTGCTATCTAACCATCTAAAAAACCAGCTATTTTCAATAGTTATATTAAGAATATCTTTCTCAAATTGAGCTTGTTCTTTATAAGTAGGTGTGTGAGCTAAATAATGCATTATTTTATTTGGATTAGAAATCTGTGATACATTAGTACTTTGACTTGTAATAGATCCTGTTGATCTTGTAGTTTGTTCTGAATAAATAGATACTGAATCATAATTATCATTATCGTTATCAGAATCAATTTCAAAAGCTTTTAATATAAAAATTAATTCTTATTTTTTATAATTAATAGAATTAATATTACACTTATGATTATAAAATTTACCATTATTGTTATTAGCACCTATATAAGATTTTTCATAATTCTGAACTCTTTCTTTTTTTTTATTTTTCTTGTTTCTTTCTAAGTTATATATTCTTGTTTGGCCTCTTGAAAATTTTTTTTGCTTCAGCTGATCCAAGTTCATTAAAAAAATTATTACATTTTCAGAGATGATTTCGTATTAATTCCCATCTATTAACAATCTTCACTTAATCTTTGGCTTTATTACAATAATAACATAAACACCATTTATTATTAGGTTTTTCTGGATTTACTTATTTATTTGTAAGAATTATATGGTTTGTAAGATTATGTCTTGGCTTTCTGGCTGAGTGTTTTTTTTTATTTGACATTTTTTAAAAACTTAACTGATACAATAAAACAAATTATGTTTATATAGCATATCATAATTATCTTTAAGCCTAAAATTTCTTTGTTCAGAATTCTTATACTAAATTTTTTTTTTTTGCATTGTATTTGATTTTATTACATTAGTGCGATCAATAAATTTTGTGAATCCTGCATATTACTATTGTTTTAACAATGAGATTCACAAAATTTATTGATCGCACTAATTCAAAAACAGCGATAAAAAACAAGCTAAACCATCTGATACTTTTCTTACAATGATATGCAAAGATATTTTTAAAGTATGCATCGCAGAATCCTGATTATTACTTATTTCAATCATTGTGCATTACTTGAACAATCTAAATTAAATCTATTTCCAAGTTTTCACTCTCACACACAATAGTCCATCTGAACAATAAATAATGCATTTTATTGTGAGAAACATCATGATAACAATAATTTAGAATAAATTTAGCAATGATGACAATCCAGCATTCAATATTAAAACAATTGAATCAGCCAGGGCAGCCTTTAAAGTTCAGTCTTGGACTGAGAACTGGTATATGTACTGGTCAATTATTATATTTCGTTGTTATTTGTTCTTTTCTTTACTAATTTTCTTTTTTTGCAGATTTTTACTTCATGACACAGTGCCAGTAGTGGTAATCTTGCAGGTTTTGACTTCGTGATATGGCACCAGTAATGATCTTGTATAGAAACTGGTATAAGGATAAGTACCAGTTCATTTATTCTATTTCTTTGCTATTTTTCTTACTTTTGTAGGGTTTGTCTCCGTCAGGAAACATTTCTTTCTTTTTTAGGTTTTTTTCCAGATAACGTGAAATAGCACCGATAATGGCGATCTTGAACTGGGGAACTGATATAAGTATCAGTTTCTTGGTTTCATCGTGTGCTATTCATTCTTCTGACTAAAACTTTCTTCCTTTTGTAGGTAATGCGAATATGGACTTGAAGATTTGGACTTGGAAAGAAGTGGGATGGGTACATTTGAT